TTGTATATAAAAATTTACTAAAAAAAAACTATTCAAGTAAGTAATTAACGTACGAATTTCAATCTCAAAAACTTGAAAAAAATAACAGTAATTTACTGATAATTTATACAATAATAATAATAATCTACACTCATTTACAAATAAAATAATAAAATTTTGTATAAAAAAATCACAAAAATATCAATTACCTTTGTCAATGGAGACGGTAATGCTGTGGAGGCAATGAAGGTAGTAAAAGCTGGATTTTGACATACCAAAAACGAAATTAAAGTTTTGTAAACTAAAATCCAAGGAAAAAAATAAAGAAAGTAACAAAAAAAAAGGAAAAAAAGAAAAGAAAAAAAACAGAGAGTGCTGCAACTTACAAAAGGTAGGATGGAGGCGCGTGGAGGCTTAGAGGTGATGGATCTTGCACCAAAACGCACGGATCTACAAAGAAATCTGTAAATGCCCGAATGTAAATCAAAGGAAAAAAATAAATTAGCACCAGATCTGCGCAAAGAGGGGCCAACTCACCGGCTTAGAGGTGATCACACAGCAGGGGGCTCCATGGCAAGAAGCCAGAATCCGGCGGCACTGGCAAGAACAGGGTCGAAGAAAAAGAACCAGATCTGCCAGGGGCGAAGGCAGAAATTTTTTTCAGGGGGGCAAAATACTAAAATTTTCAAAGTTCAAGGGAGCCTAAATAATTTTTCATATATTAATTTGCAAGATTTTCAAATTTCAAGGGGGGCGAGCACCCCCCCTGGCACCCCCCTGGCTCCGCCACTGAGATCTGTCGCAGAGGAAGAAGAAGAAATGGGGGAAAGAAGGGGGATGGGGGGTTAATGTCGAGTATATTCGACAGCAATGCTGTCGAATATACAGGGGAAACGACGACGTTTCTCATATATTCAACAGCAATGCTGTCGAATATATCAAAAACATAATCGACAGCCTGTTGGCTGTCGATTATATATATTCGACAGCCAATTGGCTGTCGAATAAAACCATGTATTCGACAGAATATTTGTCGAATAAGTTTTATGTTGATTATGAGCCAAAAAATCGATTATCATCGACAATCAACCTTATTCGACAGTAATGTTGTCGAATATATCCTTTTATTCGACAGCTACTTGGCTGTCGAATATGTTGTTGTCGTTTTTGCCCAGTTTTCCAGTAGTGAATAAACGCACTAAAAATGTAGATATGCTCCAACAAATTAGGGCTTGGTAGAAGTAAATGAAAATAATATCGATCTTATGCTAACAATTTTAGAATTATGAGATCAACCAACTT